ACACATACTCCTTTTGGCAGCACTGAAGAAGGGTGCAAACATCAATGGTGACAAAGATTAGAAATACTTGTCTTCATGATAAATCAATAAATGCACTGTGATTAAATGGCAATCACCTAATAAGACTTAGTCCTTTGCATTCTCTGACATATGATGCAGAAAGGTTGTTAGTATCTGTTGAACCTAGACATCTGGGTTAGGCATTAACAGCAATAATATTAATAACAATGGTTATCTATATTTTACAGTGTGGATGGCAGAAGAGCATATACCACTGCTTAGCACATTCTTCAATTACCCAAGCAAAACACATCCATATTCTAATAACTAAAGTCCAGTAAATTGTTCTAATAAAGTTAACTAAAAGAAACTTGCCATAGGCAAGGCACCCTGCACCTTGCACCCTGGAAAGCTGAAAGCTGTTCAAGTCACTTTAGCTCCCCCTTTTTGCTACTGTATACACTTGCATTAGAACAAGTATTTTTAAGCAATGCTGGAAGCTACCTCCAAGGGTGAAACAGAGGCCAATCAAAGTTGCCTTAGTCTATAGTAGATATTTCTAAAATTCTTGCTACTATTCAGAAGGTGGTTATTTAATAGCCCATTAATTTAATTAGTCTCCAGTTTTGCTCTTTAAGCTCTACTCTGTGAAAAAAATGATTAAGAGAAACAGTTCAAGCATGTTCCAGTATAGCTAGCACATGAAAACAGAGTCAATTGCATGCATTAATCTTTAATTAACGGCATCAGAGGAACTATAATCTAGTAGTTAGAGTACTGGACTAGCTACAAAAAGCCTTCATTTTAATCCTGGATCAGCCATTGATTTGCTACTCACCTCCCGTGAGAGGAAGAAGAGAAACACGCCTCTAAGCTCTCATTTTCCTTTTCATCTTTTGTCTGCCTTACCATTATTTTTCAGCATCTGTAGCTGGAGCACTCTCTCTACAAGCAATACTCCACCCTGGCTCTGCAGCGCTGCTTGAGCAGCCCAACTGCTAATTGCAATTAACAGCAACATCAACATAATCCGACCTTTGTCAAGACAGTGTTAAACTTTTGACATTTTTATAACACTCTAGGAAACCTTACAGATAAACCAAAGAGAAGCAGCCTGTAGCAAGGGATGATAAAAGAACATAAATGACTTCTAACAAAAACATTATGGCCCATCTTTGAGCAACCTTCCTCACTCCCATGATTTCTATGCAATCCTCAGGCCAATGGCATATGAACCTGTTTCTTTGTTGGCTTTTTTTCCAGACATCCAACTTTACATATTGACTAGCCTCTTCAAAATGGATATGACCCAGTAAATGACAGCTTGATTCAGCCGAAACAGAGCTTACGCTTCTCCTTCATTAAGCCACATTCTTGTGTCTCCTACATTCCCCAAATCCCACCTGTGCCAAGTCTTGCTTCTTTCCCCCTCTGCAACCACAGTATCTCTGGAATCCGATAATGGAATTTCTTGTTCACATCCTTACACCCCTAGCTTTCTCAGAGTCCCCCATGCTAATATTCTCTTTCTCACACAAAATACTATCATAACCATTAGTCTCCCACTCTTGCCATTATGGGATACATACTTTATTTCTCCAGGCAGATTTCTGATTCAGTGAGCATTTGCAAACCAAAAAGGCAAATATGTTGTATTTAGAGTGATTTTGCGTAACACATGCTATCCAACTACCTCAGCTTTTATCTCCCCTTTGTCAACATGAAAGTTTGTTCTCTATTTGTTCCACACGCCCCAGTTTTTGAATGCACCACTTACTCAAATAGTGTGGCTGAAAAAGCATGTGATCCTTGTGCCCCATTTCCAGATGGTTCTGCTACCCCCTACTAACTTATCAACAAAATTCCCTTTCCATCCACCAGCAGAGAGGCAGGAATGCACAGCTCAGTAAAAAGGCTGAGGTTAAAGCAGAGCAGTTCCCTAGTTCTCAAGGACTGGCTTATCACTGTCTGTCCACATACCAGGACAACAAAAACCTCTACTCCTCATGCAACCAGCTTGCCCAAGGCTTGTCTCTGCTTTCAGATATTTGGCTCTCCTTCCCCATGCTACATGAAACACTCCCCAGAGGCAAAATTTCTTAGTAAGCATTCACTCTCCTTTGATCTCAGAAGCAGCTGGTGCACAGCTGCTCCCCATTACTTTTGCAGCTCTCAAGAACCTTTTGCATTTTCCTGTCCTCCCTCACAGGCAGGCACAAAATGCAAGAACACCACCAGCAACCATCTTTTGTTCTCAGGCAAAAACTTTTATCTCCAATTCACGTTCCCTGTCCATTCTTCCTTGAATTACTGCCCACCTGGCCCAGTCCCAGGTCTTCCCTCCTAACCTGTTCCCCAAACATGAGCTATGCCTTCCTGTTCCTTTTCTCAGCAAGGGTGTCCTCCATGCTTAGGAGTCTTCTGGGAAGACACAGTACTCCATCTGACCTTACAGACGGTAAGGAATGGGCTGCTGTCCCTCATCTCAGGAAAAAAAAATCTTTCCTCAGGTTCACCATTGTTTGCAGGTGAAAAGAAAGAAGTCAATTCCATCCTATAGTTTCTCTTCTATGCAACTGTGAAGCCCAGCAAGCACAGAAAAGCCTGTCTCCTAAGAGGCGAGTGCACCATCCTAGGAAAGATGGGCCTGCTTAATGCAGTATTACCTCACAGAGTCTAAGAGTAGACCAACTGCAGTTACTATTAACAGCACAAGGTTTTTCAACTGTATTTTGTACAGGTTTAAGGAAAACAAGGAAAAGGTAGAAACCAACTCAACACCTCAAGTTACAGGATTCAGAGACAGTATTTTAATCCCTTCCTTAGCTGGAAAATCCATTTGAAGCCACCACAAGACAACTATGGATTGTAGGAAGCAGCATAGCCAAACAAGCCTGCCTACAACATTGAGCTTTGAGAAATGTTTGCAGTCCATTGCCTATTTAGACAGGAGGCAAAGGGAGCTACTGACCAATCTAATGGGATTTCCCTAAACACCCGTAAAAGATTAACTTTAATACTCTCACGCTGAGGACTGACGGAGCTGAAATGCCTGCTTCTCAGCTTGCCTTCTAGAATGGTCTCAGTGAGGCTATCACAGTGTACCCACCAGCACTTCTGCAGCACCTAGTCCACCAACAAGCCCAAGGTGCTCTGTATCCACTGCTCAGTAGAAAAATCACTTCACCTGGTCCTATTGCTGCCATTTTAGAGCCAAGTCCCACAGCTGCTGTATCACTGCTCGGATTGCCATGGGAAGCAAACCCACACATAAAAGATTCTTACTTCTGGATGGCATTTTGGCATTTCCCCAAGTAGTATACATTACACTTGTTTTTGCAGATGCATAGACATTGTTGAGGAAAAAGTTCTACTAGAACCTGACAGAAAGACGAGCACATTCATTGGACCTACAGTCTGTAGCTATGAAGCTATAAACTTCATCCAGCTTTTCACAAAAATGTAAGATTTTTCACTTTGTATTAGAATTTTTGCTGCAAGTGTAACTTCTAGGAAAGCTCAAGTAAAAACCTGACCTTCTGATCAAGAGGAAAAAGGAAGACGCTTCTGGTAACCAGTTTCTTTTGTGAAAGTTCATAATGTCTCAACAGACACTTTCAAAAGTAGACTTTAGCCAACAATTGAAGTAATTTGCACCGATGTAGAGTAATGAAACATAATGCTTGAGTCAGCCATGTTAAGTATTTACTAGTCATGTGTCAACCCGAGAATGGGTCAAACCCAGACTCTTGCCTATTCAGTTTGTGATTGTGTGAGTCTGTGTCTGTCCATACGACAAGGTGGAACTTCTGCTCCTGATAACCAAGTAGAAACATCTCATGGCAGGACGATTTTGAAAAACAATGTAATGATTTAGAAAAGTGTTTGCTAATTCATTAGAGTTGTGTTTGTGAAATGTTACAGAACTTGAGCAAAAGGGATTATGTTTAGTGGAGGCGTGTGACAAATACCACCAAGTCAATCATCCAGCATGATTCTCCTGAAAAGAGATAATAAACAGATAAAATAAAAACAAAGAGCTCATTTGATTCCCATAGTCTTTCTGCTTGATGGTTCCACTATAGCTGTGCCCTAAGTTCCAGCACCAACCTCTCACTCCACTCCATCAAGTGAACTTCAGTTTTAGCACTGAATTGGTACTTTAATGATAGGTACCCACTCCCTAAAACAAAAACCAAATCCCACCTTCCCAAACCACTGCCCAATTTTCATGGATTTCGACAGGAGTAACCTGGATTCTTTGTAGCTGTCTATGCTCTCAGCATCACTGCTTATTGTTAATGAAACTTGTTTCACATCAATTGCATTGTGTTAGGGCACGTCCACAGCTTTCTTCCCAGAAAGGTGTCTGCAATAACATCACAGTCAGATCTCAGCTACATGAGTTGCTACTTTTTCAAGTAGAGATTGGGTGGGGGTGGGGAGCGTGAGTGTGTCTGTGGAGGTCAATTAAGAAAGCAAGCAGCAGCCTTTTGCGTCACTGACAAAAATATACTTCTGATAACAAACTGTGATCTGCAAAGCCAGAGCAGGTTACTTTTTCCAGGTTTAATGGGTGCTCCTTCCACTGTCACACGCTTTCTCCTCACCTTTATTCTCCCCCCCCCAAGCAAATTATGGAGAACATATCTCCCATTCTTTTTTATTTGCTAGCATGTAGGCTGAAATATCTTAAACAGGAATATGAAGGTTTTACAGATCTTTTAAATATGAAGCAATAAAATAGTAAATCCCAAAATGAGCTTTCCTTTCAAATATTTTAGCTGTCAATCTGTAAAACTAACTTTCAAACTCCAGATTTGCTCCTGAATAAAAGGACCACCTGCAGACAATTTCTGAGAACTTAATCTCTCAAAAACTTGACTTCTTCTTAGAGCTACAATTGGGAAATTTTTGAGAAGGCACTGTATGATGGCGAAGAAACAAAAATCCATTCCTTCCATTGGCTACAAATAACAAAAACATACAAAGACTCTTAGTACTTAATCTGTTACGTAACTACTTTGATAAAAAATATTTTATTAGGTTTCTATCAGTAACATGGGATTATTAGAAAACTGCTTCTGTAGATGTAGCTTTATGGAGGACAATCATCATGAGCTCCTACAGCCATCTGAAGCCAGTAGTCCAGATTCCTAAAAATTACAAAGTTGTACAAGTTCTCTCCTCCTTTGTGGAAACCGTGTTCACTTTCTCTCCAGGAAACAGGGCTGTCTGCAAAGCCATGCACAGTTAAGGTCAGCCAGTAAGCCAGTTTTGGTTCACCAAAATAGCAACTGCAAGCAAGAAGACAAGATAATCAATAATTATAATGGAATAGACAGCACATTCAAATATACAGTATAAAGTAAAACAATCAAAGACACATTTCAGTGAAAATTTATTAACAGTTAAAAACCCCTCTTTAGTACACAATAAATAAGCTCAAAAGAAAATATTCTATCAGGAAATGAAGGAAAAAATGAGGAAATGAAGTAAGATTGACTCTCTTCATTGTTCCTACCATACTTTTAGACATGGCAAACCTGCAAGTTATAGCAATTAGAAAAAGTTCCAAGTTGTGAAGTACCAGTTCTGAATTTCCTACAGCATGCACTGCTTTTCAGAAAATAGAACATTCAATGAGAACAATTGCTATCAGAGAAAAAAAGACATCAGAGGAAGAAACATGGTCAGGCTATGCTTGACACAAATCCTTTCACCACTAGAAAGGAAACAGATTATAAATAATCAGAGCCAGACATTATCCACTGCTCTTAAGTAGAGAATAAAAGCCAAGGAAATTTGTGTTCCAACCCTTGCCTAGGGAGGCTTTCTGCACAAGATTTGGAAACTGCTCAAAGAATAATGATCATATTCCAGCTAAAGCAACAGCATTATTGTCACAAGTCAGTGCTGCAATCAGTAGCCACCAGGCACTTCAAGCATTGTCTCACACATGGAGCAAGGAGCTTCCAAAATTTACTGCCAGTAGCACTAGTATAGAATACGACAGATTCCACACACATTCATGACACACTAATATAAGGTACTTTGATACTGAATTAGAACTGCAGCTACCCCATTCATCATTATCCAGTGTCCTACATTACAACACTTGATTAAAAAAACTCACTATAATCTATTGTAGTGGTGTAATAACCTTGAAGTACCTTGTGATACTCTTTTTGGTTTCATAAAGGGATTTCAATTATATTTTCCATCACTAGTTAAAAATACTAAATCAGACGTGTTTGATTCTCACAGATGGGAAATTTTAAAAATGTAGTAGCTCAGTACAGCCACAGTTTCTTGGAAATTCAGATGAAAAACAAAGTCACGACTAGAATACAGGGCAAGCACTTTCAAATTTGAAGTATCCAAAATTGTTTATTACGTTTTTAATACTGATGTTTAGCATAAAAAGCTCACTTCCTAATTAAAAAGAAAGTCTTCATTTTATATATTTCACTATTTATCTCCAACAGCACTACTGAAAATTATTTAAAAGTGATTTCAAAAATTAAAAAGTTTTAAAGTACAAATGTTTTAGTAATGTGCTCCTGTTAGCCCTTACCACAGCTGCTCCAATAACTGAATTATCTTCTCAGGAATTATAAAACCTGTGATTGTGCACAAGAAAGCTTTTTCCACCACTGTGTTGGGCTCAGGACAGCAGTAGGTTGATAAGAAGCTAGACGAATTGTTGTCTCTGGAAAAAAACCAAACAACAAAGCAACTAAAATAAATATACTTTAAATATTTTATAGGAAGTCTTAGTAATCAAAACTAGTATCAAACAAGTAGTCTCTGTATATCACTTAAATTAATGCCAAAGCAACTAAAGACCAAGCAATTTATACAAAAGATCTCACGGTCCTGTGCGTTAACCCCGGTAAAGCTCCCAAACGCCACAGGGCTGCTTGTTCACTCACACCCCCCCAGTGCAATGGGGGAGAGAACAGAAAGGGTAAAAGGGAGAAAATGCATGGGTTGAGATAAAGACAATTTAATAAGTAAAGGAAAAGTTGCACGTGAAAGCAAAGCATGCTAAGGAATCAATTTACTCCTTCCCATCGGCAGGCACGATATGTAGCCATCTCCGGGGAAAGCAGGGCTTCATTGTGTCTAACCGTGACTCGGGAAGACACATGCTGTAACTCTGAACACTTCCCACTCTTCCTCCCCCCAGCTTTTATTGCCAAGCATGTCACCATATGGTGTGGGATATCCCTCTGGTCAGCTGGGGTCTGTGGTCGTGGCTGTGTTCTCTCCCAGCCCTCTGCCCACCCCCAGTCTCCTCACTGGCAGGGCTGTACGAGAAACAGAAAAAGCCTTGACGCTGTGTAAGCCCTGCTCAGCAATAGCTAAAACATCCCCGTGTTACCAACACTCTCGGTCACAAAACCAAAACACAGCACCACACCAGTTACTATGAGGAAAATTAACTCTATTCCAGCCCAAAACAGTACATATGGGCACCCCTAAAAAACATAGATAAGTCATTCAAGACTTAAAACATTTATCAGCATAATAGCCTTTCTACTTACAGAAATGTGCCTTAATTATTATTCAACTATTTGTCAAAATAAATTGTGCCTTTCCTTACTTAAAATGTATTTAAAGATCAAAGAAATTCCGATACTTACAAGCTAACTTGATTCAAGACAGCACCCAGCCATTCAAAGAGTTCCTCTGTACTGCAGGACTCCTCCGGCTTTCCTTGTAGGTCATTACTTTGTAACACTGGACACTGCAAGTCCCTTAATGTGCTGAATGTTATTTTTGGCTTCAGGGCCCGTATTTGGTTTTTTGAGAAGTATGACATCAGTGTTGATCCCTCTGCACCTTAACAACACAGTACCATAAACAGCTGTTATGAAACTATGAAACAAAACAAGCACTGAATACATTAAACCTTTCTATATATATACAAAAAAATGCTGTGTAAAACAGCTTTCGTGCTGTTATCTTGCCCAAAGTCATAGAATCTTCAGCTTCCTTATCTTCTCTGACATAAATATTAGTGGAAGATTCAGAACTCAGTACAGCTCAGTAAATTTACTATTTAACTAACAAGCACAAATTTTCCAACAGAAAGTTCAAACAGAATCAACTGGGTAAGTAATAAAATTAACCCATTAGAAAGAGGAACTCAAGGATGTTCCTGAAAAGGAACACATGCAACAGAGCAGGAACATCATCCCAGAACACTGTTTTCCCTGAATAATGCAAAAGTGAGCAGGTGACTGGAGGTTTAAGAACAGATTTATCAATGATGCGAAGAGGAATTCTAAGATAGTCTGGGGCACAGAGACTGAAGGGAGAAGAAAGGGGAGAAGGTAGAGAAATCAGACCGCGTCACAAATCTTTACTAGAAGAATAAAAAAACCCAAACAACAATGCTAAGTCTTCAAATGCAGTATGGCTGTAAAAGTTAAATGCACCTTGATGGACTTGTGGGAAAGTACTAGTAAGAGATCCAAACTAGCAGGTAAAATTCTAAAATCCTAACCTAAACTAAAAAACTAACCTAAGCAGACATACTGTAAATTCAGAGATATTAACCACCTTGATTTTGACACAGTAAGGTAACTGACATGGAATCAATTCTCCTAAATTTCAAATTCCATTTCAAATATGTGTGCTACTTTCATAAAGTAACAAGGGGTCTCTAGGAGAACAACGTTTGAATACCACAGAAAAGGCACGTATGAACAGAAGAAATTCAAGAACAGGATAGTTAACTGCAGAATACAATATCTAAGACTTGCTGTCAAAAGATATAAACTGCTTAAACTCCCTCAGCCATATTTATATCATCAAGGAGAATCATTTGGGGGAATAGAAAAAGGAAGATTAAGCTGATCCTTTTTAGTCATCCTTCAAAAAAAGGCTTTCTAAGTACCAAAGGGCACAGTGACAAAGACAGGTAGCCACCAAATTCTTGTTTTTATATAGATATATTTAAGACTGAAGTGTGCCAGAGCAGATGATCTTCCTTCAGCCTATACTTCCTATTGGAAATTGTTAGACTAATAGGTTCAAGGAACATAAAATATCACCCTAGAATTCTTTGTAAAATATAAAAAATCATACATTTTAAATACCTGCTGCGTGTCGGAGCCTCAGCTATAGCCCTAACTTCAGGAAATTTCAAAGACTACAGTCAAGGCCCCAACTGAACAATTCCTCTAGCCTACAGCATAACTTTCCATGTCAATGACAACCAGGCACATCGTCAAAGCAGTTTGAAGGCCAGCGAATTTCATCCAATAAACATGTAAAACTGTCACAGAAATTACAGCAATAGAAAACAGAAAAGATTGTTTTGCCTCTGTCATCAAAGACATGAGACACTCCATATTCCCTTTTTCTGTTCCTCTTGGTGCTGACACCACTATGTGGGAAAAAAGGGTATGAAAACAAAAAATCCTGCAGTGCTGGCCATAGCAAGAAACACCAGTTATCAGCAGAAAGGCTGAAAACAGAATGTTCACAGAGGACATGATTCTCTTGACAAAATACAGCCCTCTTTTATCCTTCCAGCAGAATCTACACCATGTCTCATGTCTATTAATCAAAATCTATAAAAGTTTTATTTTTGTCAGTACTAAGGAACTAATAGTCTTTCATGCATTATGAGTGCAAGATTCTTGCACAGAAAGGCATTGAGATTTAACTCCAAACTCATGAAATGATTGACCTGACTTGTTTCGGAGATGTAAGAAAGTGAGGAAAAGAAATGCTGTTCTTCCTGAACACTGTTAACATGGGCAGCAACAAACACAGGAGACATATCTCTGCCCAGGGTCAATAAATCCAAGCATGAAGATATGCCACCTTTAGTTGGATTTATGTCACCATTTACGGTTGCAACCACCTTCACTATGACTCTTTCTTGAAGACTACAAGGACATGAATTGCAAACCTTTAAACAATTACTGTATGACAAACAAGGAAGGATCATTGTCATATGTTTAGTTCTTAAAAAGGGGGAGGCGAAACATGAAGGACTAAAGTGAAACATGGGACACTCCTAAAGGAGCTTGTAAGCAGCTTTCATTTCTCAGGTAAGTTAACTCTCAGACTTGAAGAGCCAGGAAAAATGTAAAGAGGAGATGGGAAAACATTCTCAGGAACATTTCTGATATCTGTTCTTACTAGTGTGGAGACTCAAAGCAGAACAACACTAAAAGCTATACATCTATGACGAAGAAAAACATTTTTGACAGTACAGACACCTGCAGTTTTCATCAATTCTATGCAAATGCTATATATCCCTACATACAGCCTGTTCTGAAGCAATACAAACAACTGAGAACTTTGAAAAATGACCCTCAGAGGAAGAACAATACTTAAGTCCCGGAAGAAAAAATAATGTAATTAGAAAACAGTAGATAAACAAATACTAGAAGACGATTTGAAATAGTATAATTTCTTGTAACAATCTCTTACTCAGCTCCAACCTCAAACAAGTGCTTGAGAATAAAGTGATAAAGCAGCAGACTGTGTGTTTCAGTGCATACAGCACAGAAATAGGGACTCTGTAATGTCCTATAACTCATGATGAAATCAAAGTTCCCCGTCTCAAGTATATGACCAGATACGTTACTTATGTGGACTAATAAAAAAAACTCAAAAAATGTGTATTAATAATGATTATGTACGTCAGACATTTCTAAAGAAGAGGCAGCACCATCAAATAGGAAAATTTTGCCAGAAAGCCTGGGCAACATAAAGAAAAGGAAATGAAGTAACTAATATATCTCCTATGAATTACTGTTGTGTTCCTGAACTGAAATGTTCTGTGTGTAGTAAATAACACCCTCCCCACAACAAATAAACAAAACAAACAAAAAATCCCACCCAAACACATTTTAATCTAACTTTTCCTTCCACTAAAAAAGCATATGGACAATCACTAGAAAAGAACCGTAAACTAAAAATATTTGGACTTCACGTCAGTTACATCCTAGTTTTACATTTAGTTCTTATTACCTGTATTATACCAAGCCAGTAGAAAGTCAAATTCTAAAGGTTTCTTTTCTTTCAAGGCCCAGAGCACTCTGTTATGTTTCTTGCTCTCAGGGTGAAAGCCAGCATCGGTCAAGTCGATAGTGATAACTGCAGAAAATGTACAAAAGCAACTGGTACTCAACTAAAATAAATTTTATTATTAAATTAATTAAGAACTAGAAGAACACAAAGAAACCAAAGAATATCAAATACATCTTTACAAAGTATTTGATTATGCAAATATGACTCCCCACTATGTACATAAATATTCAACTCCTGCTGTCCTTGTTTTGATATAATCTGGAACTGCCTTCCAGGGACTGGAGGGACAGATTCCTTTTGAAATGACACTGACAGAAGGCCTTAAAAATATCTTCGTAATTACGAAAGCTATTAGCAGTAAAAAAAAAGAAAGCTAGAATTTCTAACAATAAAAGCCATGTAGACAGCAATGACACTTTTTCAACAGGTTGGTTTTTTATTAGGCAAATTGGTCCATGGCTAAATTACGTATATTTTTCAAACAGAAATTTTGTGATACATTTTACTTCACAAACTGAATGGTAAAACCACGTCCCATTTTGCCAAAATACTTACTAGACATAACCAGTTTCCCCTTCTAAAGTTTTCATGTAACTACCTGCAAGTAGTAGTAGTTATCAAGTACTGCAAGTTCCAAAACATTTGAGATGGCATAGTGTTCATGTTGGTTATTTATTTTTATTTAACAAAAATCACACTCAAGATGTCTCCCCTGCAGTTGTTAAAAAATTACAGCATTTTCCAAGTACTCGGTATGTGGAGATTACCATTTTAAATGTATCAAACATAATACAGTCCTCCCTTTCAAGCAAGCAGTCTTGGGTGAGGCTCTTCACTGATTTTTTTTTTTTTGTACAGTGCACAAATTTTAAGCTCTACCTTAATCAGTTTAGTATTTTTCTATTTAAATCAGAAGGCATGGATACTATGCACAGCATACAAAAATTCTTGAGTCCTACATCGCTCCAGTATAAACAACACAATAAAAACTCTGAAATTAAAGATTTTATAGATTACTGAAATGGTCACATATTTGTTTCCTTATAGCTGCTTTATTATTTAGGAAAAAAGTAATTTTTCTTTTCAGACATTCCTTGTATTTGCACGTGGAAAAAGATGACCTAGACAATAACTAATTTCAATAAAAGGGAAGTTTCAACATTGCTGGTTCAACACCCTAATAAGGTGCTTCTGAAATAAGCACTGTTAATATAAACAATACTTACTGTATCTCATTGCTTTTTTGCCAGAGTACCGAGAAGGGCGACCTTGCAGTCCAAGTTCCTCATAAGTATCCTTATCCACTGATAGAATTAGTTTTCCTATAAACAAAACAAACTTTAATAGAAATAATCTTCTACTTGGTTCCCTTTGAAGTCTTCAGAGAACCATATACCTTTTACAACGTTAGCTTTGGACCAATGGCATTACTAATGCAACGCGGACTCCTTAGTTCCAGTTAAATGGATTACCAGATTAATCTTTAAAAAAAAAGTTATAACTCAATTACTGTTTTTTATCAAAGAGGTCTTATGAAGTAGAATAAGGAAAGTGTAATATTATTCCTGATACAGTCCTAGCTTTTTTGTTGTACTACTTAGTTCATTGCCTCAATCTTTCCTCCACTTGTTCCCTAGCACTTGCTGTGTCAATAGCTGAGTGATACATTACACAAGGGCCAGATTTAGTGAACACACATGCACTGCTCAACTAAATAAATGAAAGTAGTTCTTCAACCTCCAGCAGGACTACTCACATTGAATAAATTATACCTGTTAGTGATGAGCAACTATGTGCTGGAACAAGTCCACTCCTATGTTCATAAACCAAATCTGGCAGCTGCTGCTTGGTACAGAATTTCACACAACAGCTCTCTGCTACAGTCTTTGGGTTCTACTGTACAAGTAAAAGTATAGCACAGAATACAAACAAATCAGGTTGTCGCTGAAGAGTTCACACAGTGACACCACCAGGAACTGTAACACTGTCTCTGCATTAATTGTGCATACCTTGTAATAACTGTATCAAACAAACTCAACACCACTATCAAGTATCCATTTTGCTAGGAATGGGTTAACAGACACATAAAATAATTCTTCTGAAGAATCTGAATTACTTATGCCCTCATGGGCACCTGTCATATTACAGTGACTTAGGCTAGAGGGCTGACAGACCAACTTGTATTTCTATAATATCTGAAATACTGTTAAACAGAAATAAGACAATGTATTTGAAGCCCAAAATAGCTTCGTTTTCTCTGCATGTAAAATTCTACCTGAGATGTGTGATGTTTTATCATGTTTAGTCATAAAATGTGATACAACTGAAACAGACTTTTAACGGGTTACATAATTCTTAAGGAATCACGGAATCATCGTAGAATGATTTGGGTTGGAAGGCACATTAAAGATCATCCAGTTCCAAGTCCCTGCCATGGGCAGGGACACCTTCCACTAGACCAGGTTGCTCAAAGACACATCCAGCCTGGCCTTGAACACTTCCAGGGATGGGGCAGCCACAACTTCTCTTGGCAACCCATTTCAGTGTCTCACCACCCTCGCAGTAAAGAGTTTCTTCCTAATATCTAATCTAAACCTACTCTCAGTTTGAAGCCATTCTCCCTTGTCCTCTCTCTACATGCCCTTCTAAAAATTTCCTCTCTGGCTCTCTTGCAGGCTCCCTTTAGGTACTGGAAGGTGCTCTAAGGTCTCTCCAGAGCCTTCCCTCTCCAGGGTGAACAACCCCAACTCTCTCACCCTCTCCTCATAGGAGATCATCTTCATGGCCCTCCTCTGGACTCACTCCAGTAGGTCCATATCTTTCCTGTGCTGGGAACCCCACAGCTGGATGAAGTACCCAAGGTGGGGTCTCACAAGAATAAACACCTAATATTTAAAAAATGCTCCTAAGCAGTGCTGATGACTTTCTGTTTTGGCACAAATTCTGTCTTAAAGATCAGTAGGAAACAAGAAGTTGGAATGCAATGTTTTCACAAAAATAACCCTCTGTAGCAATTCAATCATGATTGAAGCATTGACAATTTGACTATACATAAGCAAAGCTGATTTTAAATTTCCTTTATATTAAATAATTTAACCACATGAATGAAGAACAAAACTGAAATTAATATTTTTCCAATTCAATCTTATTTCTAATAAAGTTAGCAAGTACAGTAAGCCTTATTTTTCAGTTTACATCATCCCAAATAAAAAGAAAAAACCCAACAGACCACAATTGATACATATTACCAAAAACAAAACAGACCCCCATACCATTTGGTAGTAGAGCTGCAGTATTATCTTGATCAATTTTTGTATTATAGGTAAGGGCGTAGCATGAACCTTTAACAGCAAAGCAGAAAACCATGAGATTACACAGTTTTTAAAGACAGACATGACAATATAAGCAATTCACCCCAAGATAACCAAACATTGCAAATACCATTTGAATCACTCTAAACCCCTGTGTTTTCATCAAGTAACTTTCTTCCACCTTCTCAAGCAAAACAGCATTGTTATTATTTTTATAAGCCTTGGACTGGCAACATTTTAAAGGACCTATAATATGGATAACATTAACAATATGCACCAATATGAAAACACTTCCTTTTGTTTCACCTGTGACTCTCCCCACTCGGTGTACAGAAACCCCTTTTTTTTTCCAGACACATTCCTATTATCAGATCACACAAAGACAAGAGGGAAGACACATTACTAAATATATTTTGTAGCATTATCTAACTAAATAGTTTTTGTTTTTAAAACAGAAGTATCAGATTCTGGGAACTCTGCACACAAATGTCATATTGCTTCCAGAAAACTACTGGCATAAAAGAACATTAATGAGATTAAAGGAAGTAAGAAAAGAGTCCTGCATTTAGCAAGTAATGGATCTCTTGTTGCCCTATTTCATCTGTTCTCCTCTCTTTTCCCTGTAAAGTTTTTTTCTTTCTCCCTGGCTATCAGCTGAAGGTTACAATAGGTATCATAAGCCAAAGAAGTGGGCCCTGCAAGATGAAAACAATGTAGTCTGAGTATACAACAGCAAGTTGGTTGGGCAGAGGCTGTATCTTTCTTCATATCCTCTTTACTCCTACTGTGTAAGGATGAGCTGCTGCAGCTCCATTAGCACAAAACAAAAAAAAATAAGGGAGCATATTTTTTCTCTTGCCTGCTGTGTAACACAGCTACCACAGCTCTTCGTTGAGGTATGAAGGAATGAGAATGGGAGAAGGGAGCCGATTTCTACAGGAATCTGCATAAAGATAAGTTGTGGAAGAAACAGGTGTGAGGACACATGGAAGCCCTCTTGATATCTGGCTTGCAGAATTAAGACAGAATAGGGAGAAATTAATAAGCAACATTCATAGGAGTTTTGGACCCAGTGGGTGTAAACAAATGCTGACATACCACAAAGCAGAAAAAAGCAAATAAAGAAATTCATGCAGAATTTGCTTAGTACTTTTCCTTCCCTTCCTTTAAAATATTTTTCAGAATAAAAAATAATAAATGGATTTTACTGTGCTATGAAAAAAATACACTATTACTGCGTCCGTCATGTTCTGATTTCCTCCTTACCTTTCTTCACAAAAGCATCAATGAATTCATGAGCGACCAATTCATGAATGGATAAATTCCTCACCAGGTAGTACTCTCCAATATCTGCAATTGTGCTTTTCAGCACTTCAGGTAGCAGGGCACATTCCGGGATCAAAAAAGATACCTATTAGGAACATATTTGTAATGTAAATCCTATGTAAAAATCTGTTCTGGAAAAAAATCCAAACAAATAAAAAACAAGGAATAAAAAAAAAACCCCACCCTCAACTTTTCAGACATCAGTATATTATACCAAAATGAGGAAAAAGGTAATACGAGGTGATTGTCTTCAAAATGTATCCATTTGTGTAAAGTCTCAAGGTACACCCAATACATTATTTGGGTTTTTTTCTTGCATTTTATATGCTACACAACAGTATTTTACGTGTTATGTAAAGATATGACTGCACACAGCATGAGTTAACAGAAGATCTCATTTCACATCATTATACATTTAGCTTAATGTCACACTGGAACACTTCCTTCAGACCTTGCTGCCCCATTTGTTGAAGCAGTTGTAACTAAATAGGTAGGCTAAGCATTTATGTAATCTTACTGGAAAAGCAAAGACCAAAGCAGAATTAGTTTTGAATCAATACATTCTCCTCTGTAGAATACTTTAGAGGCCAGAAGAGCAAACACACCACCAGAACAAGGCTTACAATTTTCAAATAAAAGTCACGAGACATACAGTAAGGCTACACCTTCTGTAGCAGCCTTCTAATTTAACATAGGAAACTGATTTTCAACAGGGATCAGCACCCAGCTTTTCTTAATAAACTCAGTATTCAGTCCTTTGGTCCAATTGCCTATCTTTAATTTACTTTTGGCTTAAAACCTTTCTGGTACGTGTTCCATACTCAAAAGAACCCTTCAGTCCAGCAGATCAGAGAAAATAAGGTTATTACATGGGCAAGTATGAAGCTTCTCAAGCAGCATAAAGGTCTGTCCCCTTGCTCCTTCCTCCATCCCTCAATAAACTTCTTTCCCAAAGCTCTTCGAGAACAGATACATATCTCCCTTGGCATGGATGTAGAAGAGAAGCAGGGCTTCTGACAGATAGGCTGCCTGCCACACCAGTAGAAAGCTTTCTAATTAGCTGCTAAGAAACATTACTAAGGAATTTCAGGAGGAATTTTTTCACAAAAAGGGTTATTAGACATTGGAATGGGCCACCCAGGGAAGCCACAAAGTCACCATCACCTGAGGTGTTTAAGGAAAGACTGGAGTGAGTGCAGTAGTCTAATTGACATGGTGGTGTTAGGCCATAAACACATACAATAAAGGACTCTGATGATCTGAGAGGTCTTTTCCAACCTAACTGATTCTGTGATTCTTTGAAACCGCAAGAGGGTCTGACTGGAACTTACAACAGTCAAAGACACGAGAGCAAGCTGCCAAAACTGGACTTCCCAACACTGAGGTGTCCAAAACAATGGAGCAGTTGACCATTGCATCACATGACACTTTGGCAGAAGGAAGGACAAAATGCGAGAGGGCTTTCAGGTTGCCACCTGCAGCCAGGCTTCAGCCAAGGCCTCCCTCTCTGCTGAGGGAGCCCCTCAGCCCCTCCCTGCTTGGACTGGGAATCTGTGGGTGCCGCTCCCCGTGGGACTTGCTGGGTAGTGCTGACAAAGCGCTATTACTTCTTCCACTGGCTCATCCTCTTCTCCTCCTTCTATAGATTGGACTCGATGACCTTAGAGATCTTTTCCAACCTAATTGATTCTGCGATTCCTCGTGCCAGCGCCGTCTTTCACTCTTTGAGGCCCTGCGCGAGACCACAAACCCAGCGGGGGCTAATTTCCCCCCTTCCCCCCAAAAAAAAGAGGCACCCGGGCCACTTCTGGCACGGACCGAGGGACCCTCCAGAACACGCAGCCTGGCGCGAGTGAAGCACCAGCGACGCGCCCCTGGGAGCGGCTGGCCGGCAGAACCTCCAGAGGGGAGAGAGGATCCCTCAGCCCCGCCGAGGCGGCCCGGGAGCGCCCGGCAGCTCCTTTCCCCTGCTCCCTCCCTCAGGATGCTCAGGACCGCCCCGCCCCGCCCCGCCGGGCTCGCGCCATCCCGCGCCACTCACGCGGCAGCTGTAGGCGTGGTCCCGCACGTGCGCCGCGTGCCGCGAGCGCGGGTGCCGCGCGTGGCCCTTCTCGCACACCAGCAGGTGCCGCGGCGCCCGCGCGAGCTGTGCCGGCATCTTCCCAAATCCTGCCGCTCCTTCTTCCTCCCCCCCCTCCTCCTCCTCTGCCGACCGGGAGCGGCCGGGCGCCTGCAGGAGGGCGGGGAAGGGGCCGTGCCGTGAGGTCACGTCCGCCGGCTGCGGCGGCGCAGCTGCTTCCGCCGTGGAGTCCGCGGGCTGCGGGCACCCTGCCCGTGTCCTCCCTCCGCATGTGGGCGATCGGGGCTCTCGGTCCCCGCGGGGCCCGAAAAGCCCCGGCACCGGTCGGGCAGCGACACCCGCACGGCTGCATGTGCAGCCGCGGTAGTGAGCGATGGTTAAAGCATGTGCGTGTCAGCGCCCAGAGGGAGCTCACGGGAGCTGGAGGGGAACGGCTTACGGGGGCATGCAGTGACTGGACAAGGGGGAACGGCTTCAAACTGAAAGAGAGTAGGTTTACATTAGGTATAAAGAAAAAAATTCTTTGCTCTGAGACTGTTGAGGCATTGGAACAGGTTGCTCAGAAAAGCTGGGGATGCCCCATCCCTAGAGGTGTTCAAGGCCGGGGTGGATGGAGCTCTGAGTAACCTGGTGTAGTGAACTGTGTCCCTGCCGACGGTAGGAGGGTTGGAACTGTATAATCTTTGAGGTTCCTTGCAACCAAACCATTCTGTGACTCACAAGTTGTTCTGCAGGTATTGAGGGGCAGTGTTGAAAGGGCCTCACGTTTCCTGAAAGTCTGCTTAGTTAAGTAAATATTGCACAAGGGCCATGAGATAGGGCCCTGCCTCCCATGTGTTGTCTCACTGCCCCTTCTGCACATTGTGTATTTTATACAAAGAATGCACAAAAATTTGTCTTCTGCCTTTCTGCAGTATTTCTTCTCCCGATCCCCTGCTTTCATGGCTCCTGATTTAAAGTGGTACCAAGCAGCTTTCTTGGTAGTTGCTGTTTCTGTACACTGTATGAGGCTGTATGTAACCTTACCTTAAACACCACTCAAGTCTGTTTACCAAAAGTCCATCGAGCTCGCAAACCTGACTGTTGGTTTCAATGTCAGTTTTACAACAGTTGTTCTAGAGATCTCAGGCTTGCCCTATGGAGATTTTGACCTGCTATTTCTAGATGAGACACTCAGTGTTAATGCTCAGGTGTACGTGAGTGATTATTTCTCTCAAGAGATGCCAAGGGGAAAAGTTTCTTCAATGTATATTAGTATAGAAACTTTGTTTAGTGAAGAAAATATAGCTTATAATAAGGTCATAGTAAGGTTATGGTAAGTTCCAACAACTGCAGTGTTACACAGATATGAACCATCAACTATGCTATGACTTTACTCATTCACCACCTACATATCTTGGTGGTTTGATACCGTAACTTGAGCTCTCTCGCTCACTGCCTGGTCAGGTATTGCCTGTTTGGTTGAGGTAAGCAGGTAGCAATTTGGTTTTCTAGATGTTCCAGGCTGGTGAATTTATGTTACAGCTCCAGCTTCAGCAGCCAATAGGCCCAGGCTCCACTGCTAGCACAGACTGCAGTTTCCTGGTGCTGTCTATGTTTGAGTCTGCTCCATGTTGCTGGCTTAGTAGCTATGAACAGTTTGCAGGGTGCAAAGGCCAATCCTTGCGAGGTCTGTGTTACAGAGCCGTGATTGCCTGATGGAAGGGGGAATGCTCGTTAGGCTGATTGAGACCCACTTGTTTCAGGGCATGTGCTTTCTGAGTGCTTGTGGGCTGGAGTGACATCAGGATGCTGCTGCTCGGAACTTGGTGGCTTGTATCCTCCACTGCATGAGGCTGAGGTGAAACCACACGTCACGAAGTCACTGGTTTATTAATGCCTGTGGAGGAGGGCTGAATTCTGCACTCACACTGCCTGTATAAATTGGATTGATTGGATTATTATGAATTGAAAAAAGGCTATGTAATCACGGTAACCTTCTAATTTAAAGCATGCAAACATTAATGGGAAAAGCAGTACAGGATTAATGTCAGTTATTACCATACCCGCAAGCAGAAGCCTCTGTGTGCAGATCAGCATCACACTGTGATGATCAGAAAGCCTGTTCTACTACAGGGGTGAAAAGTTCAAGCCTCTGATCAATAAGCCCAGGGAGTCAGGCAGGAAATTCAGCTGTACTCATACTCATGTGGAGGTGGGGGGTTTTGTTTTTGTTTTGGTTTGCTTTTATTTGTTTTGTGGGGGTTCTGTTGTTTGGATTTTTTGTGAGCTTCTCTATGCTAATAAAATCTATGCTTTCTGCTAGAGATACAAAAGGATGGGAAAAGAAATGAGACCTTGGGGAAGGGTCAAGAGAGTCAAGATTCATGGTTGCATATTAAGTCAGTATTTTATGGATTCTGGCAGGAGTGTAGTTCACTGCAGCTCAGTGAAGCATGGAAGGATTCACATCACTGTTAGTTCATATGTCAGGCAATTAATCCTAACCCACTCTTGCTCATATATGTCAGCTGTTCTATTATATAGAGTATGTGTGTTTTAGAGAACTCCCTGAAGATACTGAACTACATTAAAAAAAAACCCAATTAGCAGTACAGTAGTCTGTGCTGCAACATACAGAATTTCCCTATCTTTAAATTATATATATGTGTGTGTGTGTGTGTGTATGCTAATTATTGGTTAATGCTGACATTTTTATAGTGGTTGTTACAGTTTTATGACTAATTTGGTATGGGATTTCTATATATTGTAAAAAAACTCAAACCTTTTAAGCTCTAAATAATTTAAGATTTAAAGCTATCACAATTTTCCCAAGGATTTCAAACCTGTGACAGGGTAATGCAGTTCTACAGCAATTCAGTTTCTGCTTGCTTGAACAGGCTGTAGTAAAGAGGAAAGGATTGCCTTGAGGCAACTTGTGGTAATAGCTTGGAATACAGAAGGATCTCAGATGTTTCCTGAGACTGGTGAAATTCAATTCTGTTTTTGTATCAAATGACAGAGTTTGAAAAGAAAAGTCTGATCTTCACATTATGTACAATATCTCTAGTTGTGAAGTCCAGCTGCTTCTTACATATATTTTTTTTTACTATGGAAGAACCATCTTAGCCCAATCTTTCTTCTGGATTTTCTGATTTTAAAAACTACATTATTAAGAGACTTAGAGTTTCATAAAATCAAATCTAAACAAATTATCACAGTATTTTGAAATTGGTTTGTGCCTTTAAGATGAATCAAAGTATTTTTCTTTTCAGTCACTGTTTTTTCTTTCTTAGATTGTGTTGACTGCAGAAGACAAAGAAGTTGTCTAAATTTTTTAACCTTGGCTATTGTAATTAGTGCTTTGCAAAACAAAACCAAACAGATACCTCTGGTGCCATGTCTGAAATTAATAAAGTGCATAAGACTGAAATCCAGGAATTTACTTGATCAGTATCAACTGGTTTTTTTGTTGAGGAAAGTGGAATATGTGGACAGCTAGTTTTATACCCTCTTTTTTACACACTTCAGTCCATACAGTCAGAGCAGTGATGGACTATAAAAAAAATCTCACTCAGACTTGTTCTTCAAGGGGATTACAGACAAAGCTCTGCCAAGCTACTCCAGAAATCAGTTGTTCAAGCCAGGAAGAATATTGAAAGCTAACCGTGGACAAAGTGGTTGGATTTGGTTTAAAATGCAATTAAAAAAACCCAAACAACCAACCACCTGATCTGTTTCCTTTAGAGTTAAAGCTACTGTAATCTGGGGAACCTCATACTCACTCAGTTTTGTGGTATTACAGTGGGTGAAGAAATGTGAGGGATAATTCCTTCAATAAGGTTCTAGGGAACAGAAGTGTACTTCACCTATATTCCAGCAGGGTCTTCACCTCCACTTGCCTCCTAAGGATCAGATTTTTGTCAGGAACCTGCATGGTACCGGGGAATTATCATGCACTTTCTGTCTCCTAAACAAATCAATTGGCATTCACATTATGGCTAATATAAGGCATATGCACTCTGTCCTCTATTCACACTTCCTTGCAGTAGGTAACAATCTGTGGCCATGTTCCTTTGGTTCCCCCTTCATATTCTGGGAAACATCCTAGGGAGCACTTCCACACCCACCTCAACCTTCCACAGGCAATAAATATGTGTCCTTCTCCTTGTCCCATTAAAAGATGGTGAAAAACTGCTGCCTTTTCCATTGCTAAGTTCTCTTCTCCTGGCATTACATATGAGGCACTATTTCTCCTCAAATTGACTAACCAATTACCATGATCGTGTTAAACTTGTCCTAGCAGTTTTGTTTTCAATCTGTACATAATTTTTCCAGTTATATGAATTGGTGTGCTAAAGGATATTAGTTGTCCCTGCACAAGTTATCTTGATAGTATCCTTAGAGCATTTAATTTCTAGAAACACTAGTGCTGCTCCTAGGATTGCAGCAGATCACACTGTTACTTTAATATACTGTCATGAAGATTCAGAATGCAAA